CATGTGACACACAAAAATCGATGTTTATCTGTGTCTCTTTAATATATACTTTTAAATTAAGAAATTAAATAATGTATAATACTAAAATTTGAATTATAATCTACAGTTTGATACCAATCGTATTGACATAAGTTCATGAAATAGTAGTTGAATAAAATTTTGAATGGGAGTCGACAAACGCGATGACATGGCCTTTGACCCATGATTCGTCTGCAGAGGGTTAAGCAGCATAAAGAAATTACGAGAAATCTTTTATGAATACCATAGCTTTGGTTTTCAGTACATTGGCTTTCAAACTCCATTCTTGACTAAGGTTTAACTAACTTTGTTCTATAAAGTTACAGCTGAAGCAGATGCTAACCATTTTAAACTGTAAATACAGAGACTAATTCGTGTTTGTGTATAAATTTCATAATGGCACTTCAGTTTTAAATTCAGTAATGAAGGTAGGATTAGGGTACATTTTGCAGATTTTTCATGATTACAAATAGTTAAAGTCTTATTACAATTTTCTGAATCAAACACATTACGAAAATAATAGTTATTATTGTTTTTAGTTCCTTACAGTCCTGGAGGAATAGCTTATGAAAGAGTAGTTAGGCCCCCTGACTGGGTAAGTATTTTGTGTGTGTGTGTGTGTGTAGTAGAAAAATCTTCAATAGATGTAGCATTAAAAGATGCATGATAAGAAACTTTTGCTTTAAATATTTTTTTTAAAGAAGATCAACAATAGTTATTTTCAAATCTATAAATAGTTCTGAGTATGATTTTGTTTTTACCTGGCCTGGGAACATTTAACGCTTATATATATTTAAATTCTGGGATGTGCTGAGAATGAAAATGTATATATATTATTTTATAGATAATTTTTCCAGTGCTCTCTCCTTAGTTCTTGATTTAAATATTTTAAAATAATCTAGTTTTTTGAAGCTGTTACATTTAGAGAATACTGCACGAGAAAAAACAACAATCCTGTTAATGCTATATCCCTTTCAGCATGCACACCGTATACTAGAATTGATATCTTTGATTTTAATGATATTGTTAAAAACCCAATTACCTGACAACCTTTTTTTGTGTGTGTATGTATGTAAGATGAAGTATAATCACATACTGTAAATAAAATCATGCAAATTAATTTAAAAAGAATTTTACAGTGAACAGATTTGTTGCTTTAAATTTGGTTAACATAAAGAATTTTCAGTTACAATACTTACGAGTAAGTAGTAAATTTGAACAGAATATGTTGAAAATACTTTAATTATATTATATTTTACTTATCCTCATACTTATCTAATGCTTTTAGTTTTTAACTCTTATTTATGATTGCAGTTGGTATAGTAGTTAAGAATACAAAATTTTGTTTGTAATTTGCTATTTATTGTTTAGGTCTTGGATTACTGGCATCCACTTGAGAAAGCTCAGTATCCTGACTATTTTGCTAGAAGAGAGCAAAGGAAGAAGGAATATATAGAACTATGGGAGAAAACTTATGGAAAGCCAGAGGAATCACCCTCTCATTAAAATATCTTTTTATAAATAGAGGAAGACAGTTAGACATAGGAAAGATAAATGTAGTATATTGACTGTTTAATAACTTTTATTTCAAATGAAACTATGTTTGAATAATTTTGGTGAGAATAAATTACAATCCTAGAAAATACACAGTAACCTGAGAACAAAATATCTCTTGTTGAAGTTGTTCAAGAAAGGGTAGATATAGTTTTTATCAACAATTCCTAATTAAGAACTGTTTAAGATATTTTATACTACTTTTCAAATGGTAAATTTTACTTTCAATAAGAACATTCAGTATTCACATTGCATTGTTTTTAAAGAACACAAACATTATGCATTTAGTGAATATTTTAGTACATTATTATTGGGGACAATATTTGTAATAAGAAGGCTTTTCAGTAATTCCCACTTTCAGAATTAGGTGTAATATTTCAAAAACTTATACCCCAGATACATAATCTAAGAAAATTGTCACCAGAACTTCTACAAGATAAAATGCAGAGGGTTGATCGTACTTTAAAAGAAAGATTTGCATATGTATGTTAATGCATTAACATGTATTTGCAGATGTAAGATATGGTGACATATTTAGCACCTGTATGTCATTTAATCATAATGAATTCCAGATCTTTCAACTGTAGAATGTCTTCAAGGTAAACTTGTTTTGTAGAGAAATATGTCACACACACACACAAATGAAGCCTATAAGACAGCAACAGGGTCTCAAACCACATCACTACCAGTCTGAGCAGTGGTTTCATCTGTAAAGTGAAGGCTATGGTTAGGAAAAAGAACCTTTTGATGAAAAAGGAAAAAACATTGCATTGAAGCTGGGCATATCTATTGGTACCAGTTACAAAGGCTTCTTGCTACTCTTGAAAATCAGTGGTTATTTTGATGAGATAGGTGGCTTAGGAAAGTGTACTCACAGTAACCCTATTCAACCACAAGCTTTTATGCTTTTGATCTGCTTAAAGATGGTCTTGGAAACTGAAATCTGTTTACATGTATGGTGGAGGATCTGTAGAAAGTTTCAAGATGTTGGAAGATCTGTGATTGGCCTTCCATCCTTGGCCAAAACTTGTTACAATGGAAACTATGGTGCTGCACAATAGTGCATATTTATAGCCATCAGATTGGTTCTAAAGACAACACCGGACCTGGGTCTTTTTAAGTGTGATTAACCTTCAGTATTTAGCCTTGACATCTCAAATATTTTAAAGCATATTTTTAGTAACTGTGTTGCTCTTCTTGCTCACTATGCTAGTAAAGACTTGGTAGATCTTTTTGAGAATTAAGGACAATTAAATGGAGAATTTTCCCACATGTGATGGTGAAAATCGAAACTTTGAAAATGTCATTGTTTTAATAATAATTGTATGATGAAGTGAAGTTTCATGATTTGTAACTGTTGCATCATGGCCGTGTCTCAAGACCACCATCATGCTGTAGTTCAGAGGTTATCAAGTATGTTGCAGACTTAACAAATTATATTAAATCTGTTTTTCATTACAAAATAGCAAATTTCACAGTTATAGAAGCCTACAGTATATATATATACTAAGAATGTATTAAGTGGTGGAATTACTTTATTTTATGAGAATCACGTTAACCTTTTGTGAGTAGAACACATTCTGACAAACTCGGATAATTCCATTCTATTCCTGATGACATGTGATTCAGCAATAGCAGTTAATATACTTGATAATGAATAAAATGATGACTTCAGTGTCTGGTTCACTTTATGACCTCAAACAGATGGACACATATAAGGCTGCTTACTGGTAAGCAACTTTTTCTGAAATTGGTGTTTTTTGATGATATGGACATGTAATTACACACCATGAGAATTGTTGGGTGTGTGGATTTTAATTTTTATCATCTCTAGTTCTTTGATGTAAAATACCTGTACAAGTTCACAATTAGTATTTCTATATCCTAAACCAGAAGACATACACTTGTTAATTTGACAGAGATTTACCAAACACAAGACTACCATTACAAGTGAATTCTGCTATTTTAGGTAAGTTGTATTTAAGTAACTGATCTAAAAATAAATTAAACAGGTGTTTTCAGATGCTAAAACATTCCTCAGAAAGAAAAAATGATGCAAGATAAATTTTGTCATTTATCTGGGATGCCATATTGTAAGTGATGATTTACACACATGACATCATGTTTATAATATTCATGTTAGTGTGAGGGTTCCTTGAGGTTGAGAAGTGAAATGGGATTAAGATTATATCCTCAATAATAATGATAATTTAAGTATATTCCAAAGTAAAGAAAAAAAGAGTGATTAAGAATGGTACAATAGAATGTATCTATTCTAGTTTGAATGATATGAATAACAACTTGTCTCGACATGTTGAGTTCTCGGTAAACCAAGTTTACCCTTTCTTTATATAAACGTACAATGTTTAACATCTTTGATCCACTTACATAATTTTCACAGATCTGTGTTACCATTTCTGAAAACAGATTATAGGGTACATTTATATCATCATCTTACACAGTTATAAACAAGCTGCAGCTCTAAGAATCCTTCACATACGTTTTCCTGATTTAAAGTGTTACAGTCACTAATTTGAATGACTACATTTCTAAGGATCTCAAGATGGGCCTATAATGATAGAATTATTGGTTGAATATATATTCTATAAATATTTATTAAACTGTAAATGCTACAGATTTTATGTAGATACAACTTATTTAATACTCCAAAAAAAGTACAGCTAGATATCTGTAAGAAACCCCTGGTGTTTATCTTGTATTGATGAAAGTCTTAAAAAGCTGAACATAACCCTACATGAAATATTTAATGTTTTGCTTTTATTCTTGCTGGTAAGTATAACTTTCACTGTATATTTGCAAAAGTCCTCTGTACGAATAATTTTATTTACAACCTTACACATTTATTACATTGCTATATTAGTACTACCATGGAATGTATGTTAATGTAAGAATATCTAAAACACAAAGTGTACAAAACTACTGCACATAACATCATATAAACATTTAACATAAGATATTTGTTTCCCACTGTAAATAAGAAATGCATGTCCTTCTTGTATAGTATTCAAGCCACATCTTATGTTTGCTCATACTTAGTATTCTGGTATGTTGGAGTATAGAGTTCCTTGTATAATGATATTGGATTATACAATATGATATCTAAAACAGTACTGTAGCATTCAAGCTTTGAAGCAGACACTAGGGCATCTTAAAACCACATTATGCTTGTTCTTTGGTTGTTGTAGTTGACCACCTAAGGAACACGTTAAAAACCTCAAGTCTGGAGCATACCATAAAACACATTAAACAGCACCTTGCATAATAATGTTTACGAGCATGCAAACATCTGAATTAGTTCTGAAATAGTATGTTACAAATACCAGCTCTGAAATATAGAACACACCCAAAATACGACATGCATTTTTGAAACTTACATTGGATCTCCTGAAATAGCACATTTTAGACATACGGGCTCTGAAGCATACAGTAGAACGTGTAAAACAGCGTTTTAAACGATCATCTAAAACAGTACATTATAAATTTTGAATGAAAATATCAACAAGGTATTTAGATGGATTCAGTTCCAGGTAAAGCAAGCTTCTTAAACAAAGGGCCATGTAGACAATCTAAGACAACGCTTTTACACATTAGTGCTTTGAAGCATATAATAGAACATTTAAAACAGCCCATTAACGTCCATTATTAAGAGCATTAATTACATTATATGAAACATGTTACTCTCAAATTTTGGAATAAGCAGGAAAACACCCAAAACAGCATGCAATAAAACAACTTTTAATATGTTTTTTTCTATTATTCCCTGTCGTAAACGTCTCCAAACACTACAGAGTTTGACTACAATCTTTTTTTTTTGCTTCCCAACGACTGACAACGTGAAAATTTTATAAATACATAAATTTCTACAATTTTTTCTTTCATTTTTTACAACCAAGATATTAAAACATTATAAGCTTTAAGACTTTTTTGAATACCTAGATGAATAATATGGCATTGCATTTATATATTACGAAGAGTAGTAAACACAGTGTCGTGGCGAATTTTTACACTTGAATATTGTAACTGTTACTGTATTTACAAAAATGTTCAGAAAGTTAGCAACTTAGCTATAATAAACAGATAAACATTGTTCTTTGACTTTTTTTAAAGAACATCATAAAAGCGCATTTTAATACTCTTTCTTTGAAGGCTACAAAGAATGCGAACAGCTGTTAAGGTTTACCAAGACTGTTCAGCAGGTCACGTTGGGAGTAGGAATGAAATGTCGATGCATGAGAGGACGGGATGTTGCGAATACGGATACAAAGAACAGCAGTTATCGTGGAGGAAGCAAGAAGAATAAGGATTGTAACAACAAGTGCCGTGACAAAACTAGGGGTAGACATACAAACATCGCCATCTCGACCGTTAGATCCTGTGGTCAGTGACACTGTGCCATTACCACTTTCAGAAAATATGATATCTTCTGGAGCCACCACTCGGATTCCACGCAGCAAGCGGATTGGTTCAACATTGTCGTGAAGCCTAAGAATGCCGTCTTTGTCTTCTTTTATCACCTTTACACCACCACGAGTATCTCTCTTCCTTCGTCCTGTCCGAGCTTGTGGGAATTCTGAACAGAAATCTTGACATTGGAACTTGCATATCTCGATGTTACATTCCAGGAACACTTCCATTGTGTCAGGGAATTTGAAGGCTTGGAAAAAAGAGTAAGCAATAATGCTTGCCCCAGTATTCCCTGTCTGTCTTGTTTTCTGCCACGGACCCATCAACTTCTTCTTTATTACACATCCTCGTACATCAGTTAGTTGGATGCCCTTACTGACATCTCCAGAATGTGCTGTACATTCCTTCACATGAATGTCAAAATTATCAGTGCCTTGCACATAGATGACCGCTGTTAAAGTATCGCCAATTCTGACTAATCCTGTAACAGGAACAGCAAATGGCCCTCGTCCAACTTGGATATCCATATAACTGTCTACAGAATCCCCGCTGTAGGTTATAGAGATGATATCCAGCATGTCTACGTTAATATTAGACGTCACAGTCTTCTCGAACTGACCAGTCCAGAGACAACGAATGTGTCGTGCAGTGTCCCACACTTCTTGAAAACCAGGCTCATTTTGAATTATTATAGTGTTCTCTAAATAAGCCTGACCACCTTGGTTGAATTGATCTACAAATTGGGTGCCACAGCGATCGAGGTAAACAGTGAACTCGTAGACAGATCTCCCATTGTTCGGCACCACATAAATACAGTTCGTATTACTATTTAATAGAAGAAAAAAAGTAAATTATTAGAACAATATTTTTCTCGTTTACTCACATTAGATATAAAGTATTAAGTAATAAAAAGTCGAAGATTTTATTATTTACTTGTAATAACTGTGCATATTTCCAACTCTACTGAAGTGACATGTCAACACACGAACACTGAGAATATTTTAACTGTTTCACTTGGTTATAACTATTCTAAACAGTTGGAAACGTACATCATTACATATAACTTGAACATTACTAGTCAATTTACCTATGACACTCAGTTATGAACAGAATAAGAGTGGCGGGGCATTGTTTCTTATTATGTTCCTTATATGAGAAATGGCATAAAGCCTAAACCTGAATCATGTTTAAATGTTCAGTTTCCATTGTTGTTTGTGATATATATATAATTTAAATAATTGACAGACGCTTTAATTGCAATAGCTAGAGAGGTGATGACCTTGAAAGATTACTGGAAGAGACTAAAGAAATGAAATGGGACATCTTTGCTCCAAGTGAAACTAATAGCATTGGAGAAGGCCTAGTAGAAACGAAAGAAGTATGGATATATGAGGCGGGGAAGACAGAACACGATTCAACCTTAACACACGGCTGCCAAACATGAGCGCTGACAAAAGAGATAAGGATAAAGATAGGAACCACACAAAGAGCTATGGAAAGAAAAATACTTCATATAACATTACAAGACAGATGGAGAAATGGCAGAATAAGAAAAACAACAAATATAATAGATGCAGTAAGGTTCATTCTAACAACTAAATAGGCTGGACACGTGGCAAGATATTCGATAATAAGTGGGCATTAAGAACAATGGAATGGCAACCTAGGACAGGGAAAAGATCTAAGGAGAGGCAAAAGAGAAGATGAGGGACGATATAGGGGTGGAATCAGATGGACACGGTATTCTAAGAATAAGAAGTACTGGACTGGTCTCACAAGGGATGACTGCAGCTTAGATAGATAGAGAGCTCATTCTTTAGGTAAAAAAGCACTCGGTTTACCATTTAACAAACTTAAAAATTGGCAGAAGACTGTACCGATCGTTAATGGCGCCCTTTCTAAGACAAATTCTGCGCCCCTCCGAAAGAAAACAATCCATTCTTGACTTCAGAGACGCAAACTCACGCCTCTTACGGCTCGGCGTTGTTTGCAGACGTAACGTTCACACTAACCTTGATACGGCTAAAATTAGCATCCTATTAGAGGTGTCCCTAGAGTAGGCCCAGGAACAAAGAAAAATATGATAGGCGAATAGTTGAAATGTTTACGAAGTACCCTACTGTCAGTAGCTAGAGGGTTGGCACTCGGTACGCGAAAAGAGGAAATGTTGGAATTCAACAAAATTCCACCTGTTTTGTCCCCTATGGACACAAAGGTAAGTCTCACGATTTATAATGCTAAAAAACCTGGTTTCGATACTTGTGGTGGGCATAGCCCAGATGACCCATTGTGTATCTTTGTGATTTACTACAAGTAAACAAGCATCCCATTTTGTTTTCGGTAAATAGTTAATTTACCCTTTAGTGTATGTGGTAGAGTGCTCTGCCATTTAACTACTACTTAATCTTACTAAATATTTTTACCATTTTATAATGATTATTATTTTAGAAATTGGAACTAATTAATATTAACTAACAGATAAAAATAATCACTGATGCAATACTATTATATTTCGAGCTATCTTCACTGGTTTATTGTGTATGTGATATTATTATCGTATCTTTTTAACTGTAATGCTCACTATTCGACACTAAACAATAGTAATTCATTTGCCGCCCCATCCCCAGTGGCATAGCGGTATGTCTGCGGACCTACAACGCTAAAAACCGGGTTTCGATACCCGTGGTGGGCAGAGCACAGATATCCCATTGTGTAGCTTTGTGCTTAATTACAAACAAAAAAAAGTAATTGATTTATACTAAATTGTATTTCGTGTTGAATAATTTAGTTTTAATTTAAATGTTACATTATGTACGACCAAAAGTTTGGTTCGCATTTCGCGCAAAGCTACACGCGAGCTATCTGCGCTAAATGTCCCTAAATTAGCAATAACAGACTAGAGATAAGGCAGCTAGTCGACGCCACACACCGCCAACTCTTTGGCTACTCTTTTACCAACGAATAGTGGGAATGATCGTCACATTATAACGCCCCTACGGCTGAACAAGTGAGTATGTTCAGTGTAACTGGGTAAAAGTTTTTAATAACAAAATTATAAATTTGGCTTATGGAAAACGGCCCGGCATGGCCAGGTGGTTAGGACGCTCGACTCGCAATCTGAGGGTCGCGAGTTCGAATCACTGTCCCAACAAACACGCTCGCTTTCAGCCGTGGGAGCGTTATAATGTGACGGTCAATCCCACTATTCGTTGGTAAAATAGTTGGCGGTAGGTGATGATGACTAGCTGCCTTCCCTCTAGTCTTACACTGCTAAATTAAGGACGGCTAGAGCAGATGGTCCTCGTGTAGCTTTGCGCGAAATTCAAAACAAACCAAACTTATGCGAAACATTTGCTCTAACATTATTTCAGAAAGTTTTGGGCATTCTACCTGTAATATCCTTTAGAATAAATAACACCGTTGAATGGACTGCTGAACTCTATCCTCACGGCCATCGTTTCCTTCTGACACTGAACGTCGATGTTGAGAATTTGTGGCATTTGTCCTGCAGGGGCCAATGGTAACAACTCAGCCTCTGGCGGGATATTTTGGGCCGCTGGGAGAGGATTGAAATTAGAGTATGAATTTTGATTTACTGGTCTGGCTGGAGAGACGCGCTGTGGTCCTGAAACGAATCCATTTCGTAGATTTTGACCTTGTCTACCAGAGGAGGTAGCACTGACAAAGCTAAGAAGTGGAACTTGACTCTGTCCAGAAGACGAACCATACTGTTTTGCGTCACGGGCGCGAGCAACCTAAAGAACAATAAATTAGATTTAAAAGTTAAGAAACTGGCTATGTTTGTGTAAAATTAGCACTATTAGATTTAATAAAGAAATCATGCGTAGCGAATGAAAGTTTTAACATTTAAATTAGTAATTATAGTTTCGAGACAAATCTTCCACAACTTCGAGATTATGCATTTGAAAATATCAAATAAAAAAATCAGATACATAATGAGAGTAAATTCGATGTATTGAAAATTTAATCAAATGAAATTTTGTGTTGTAACTTAAGTGTTTTTAACAAAGAAACATAAGTCTTTTTTTTAACGTTGTGTCATATTAGCATGTTTGGGAAATTAAATATATAACTTTACACTTGCTGTTGCAAGAAACTGAGATCTAGTGGAAAACTATCTGAACCTCTAAAACAAGAAACAGGAACAGGAACACTATGAAATAGATAAAATTCGATAAATACATTTCAATATTTCTAAGCTTAGCAGCTTCAAAATAAACTTATGCTGACATTAATTTTCAAAATGGAATGGTGGCTGTTTTGGCGTGTTTGTAATTTACGAACAACTATAAATATTGTTTTTACATAATTCGCAGTACTAAATAATTTCATCTTAACATTAATGAAACTGCAGTTTGAGAATTATTTCATTCATTCATTCAATTATTTCAGGTTATAAGTATGGCTAAAACTGCAGATGATTTTCAAAGAATTAAAATTAGTAAAAGCTGTTACAATTTATTGTTTGTTTGTTTTTTGAATTTCGCGCACAGAATATCAACTGAGAGATAAAAATTTAATATCCTTTTAAATATACTATCATTTATAATCAATATAGTAACTTTAAAATTAAATATATATTTTCATTATGATAACATTATCGTTTTCAATGGACACTAGCGCTACCTATTAGGTTTATAAATGTTGAAGGTGATCTCAAGCTTAAATTTGAGACATTAAAACTAAGATGTCTTACCTCGAAACTAGGCTTGTGAATCATACTACAAAGGTCTGTAGCTTATACAAAAGGGCGCTGAGAAATCTCGAATCGTATGTACACGAAAGGTAATTAAATTTAGAGTTGTAATTAGTGTTTTGCTAGTGGCTGGCTGCATCGTTCATACTCGTATTTTTAATGTTTATCTACAATTACTACTACCAGTTGGAGAGAGGAAAGCTTGTGCTTCAGACAGTGATAAACTCCTACAACATATAAATAAATAAGTGGATGATCATTATAATTAATAAATACTTCGTACTCTTAGGACCGTAGTAACTTACTACCGTCCGAATAACATGTTTTATGTATCGATTACAACTTGCATTTTACAAAATATAACTTGCAAGTCAAAAGAGGTAATGCCATTTCCATCTCTAATTTGTGTAACTGTAAGTTAGAGTCTAGCCATACGAATCACTGGTTAGGCCTTACTTGTAAGTATTGTCTTTTTACTTTTCTTAAGTTCGCTAAAACTTTTACTCTGTTTTAGTAAAAGTAAAAAGCATATCATAAACAATAATATGGGTTCATAATAATACTTAGAGGGATTGCACAAAACTTTAATAGTAATAGAACGTTCTGGCAAAAATGGAAAAAACTACTTAAACAGTAAATATTAGTTCAAAACAACACTTTAAAACTTTTACTATCGACTGCTAATGCTGTATACGTATATGAAAATTAACAAAAAAGCACACATGTTAGGTTTATAAACAAAAGAAAATCCACTCAAAATGACCTGTTTGTAATTTATTTTATTAATATTATCATTCTCTTGCCAGACTGTCCCCTAGTGGGACAGTGGTAAGACGTCAGATTTACAACACAAATCGGGGGTTGATTCCCCCTTGGTGGACACAGCAGATAGCCCAATGTGGCTTTGCTATAAGAAAACACACACACACTTGCCAACCTACGTCAAAAATGGCTTGGTATATTGCACCCAAACCAATGATGAATATGTTTTGTTTCAAAGAAGGCAAAATGTCAAAAGAAAACTGATACTTACATGTAGAGAGTAGAAACCATATGTTATATAAGCCAGTATAATTTCTTTTTTAATTCCCAATAGTTAAATAATTTATTGTAGTTATAATGACAAAAATCCCAAAGAATAGATATGTTTCATTACAATAAGTGATAACACAAATAATATAAGGAATTTTCATTTCATTAACAAATATCTCCCCTCACTCACCTAATACCAAAAGAAGTTTTCCAGATGATAACTTGTTTGGAGAAGGTGCTTGTACCTGAGTCAAAAGGTTGGACCTGTGTAAAAAGTAATTTTTTTATGACAGTAATTAGAATAATTTATTTTGTTAATAGTAGGCTTAACATTAACAGTTATTCAAGATAAATACTTTTTAGGTATGGACATGCAACCAACACATAAAGCCTGTCCAATGAGATTTGCTTATGTAACCTGCAGATATTGATGCAACATCTGTTAAATGTTTCAGTCTGAACTGTTATCATGAACCACGATATGCACAAAACCCTAATAGAACGTTAGGGCAAAAAGCACCCTAAACAGTAAAGATTCAGACCAAACAACACTATAAAATCTTTACTATTGACTGCTAAGGCTGTACACATATAAAAATGCACAAAAAAGCACGCATGTTAGACTTACAAGGAAAAGAAAATCCATTCAAAATGGCCCATTTGTAACTTTTCTTCTTCTTATTATTATTATCTTGCCAGACAACAACAAAAACATCATCATATATTGCCCCCAAACCTTTTGTAGGATACTAAATAAGATACTGCAAAGGTCATAAGGGTTTTGAAAAGTTGATTTGTTTCTTCTATATTTTACATAAACTAAAAAACATCATAATTTTAGTGTAAACAATGTTATCATTACCCCTTGAAGTTAGCTTTCTTACAAATACCTTGTGTTCCTTTAAAAAGCTTAAGTAAAGGGTGAAACAGGAATTACCAGCCAATAATAAGCTGAACATTAGATGACTATAACATGTAGATACTCAATGCTTTGTACACTATACAATTGGTGTATTTAGGGAGTCAGTCCCTGCATTATGTGGAAAATTTTTAAATATTCAAGGTAAACATGTTCCATATAGAAAAAAAAAGGGTAGCTGAAAAAACAAACTTAAAAATAGCCCAACAAAGCCTTATATCTATTGAACAGAATTTTAAACAATCCAAAATACAGTACTACAGTCTAAATTATTAAATAAACTATTCCATAAGTTTAAAAGCTAACTGGAAAAAAAAAGTGTTAGGAATAATTCTGCATCTAGGCTTCCAAACCCCAAGTATTCAAATTTGTATTTCCAACTTTTTCATTCCACCAAGGGCCCAGCATGGC